AGAGGGATATCTAGCACTAGTGAACTGCTGGATGCAACGGAATGACGGTATATGTGAGCTTCAAACTTGACTTCGATTTGTATACCTCAGACACATCTGGCTTCACGTTTAAATGATTGATTTCTTTCTTAAAAAGCACGTAATAAGCTGTTTATTTTTTGTCATTGCACAGAAACCCGTTTTATTTAACACCAAAACCTTCTGCGTTGATGTACAATTTTACGAAGCGTAAGAAGTAACCAACGGCCGCTAAACTTGGCAGGCAGGCAACAAAGCGAGTGTTCCCTCCACCACTTTTATGTTGTCTGTTTCTTTCTTTCGCCGTTTGGTTGTGCCGTCAAGGTGAGTTGACTTTTATTTTAGAATGGAATATGTATGAATGAGATCTGCTCATAAACTTTTTGTTTTAGAGAAGCTTTATTTACGCAGTCGTGTTCACTTTTGAGTCAAAGCTTCGCTAAACTTTACCAGCCAACACAAGCCTTGCAGACACATATACCGTCATTCCCAGCGCTACAACGGGGCCCCTTAAAAAATTCGCATAGACGGTGGCGCCACACCTTCCTCTAGGCATTATTGTAAGAAACTATAGTAAATACTATCGAAATTCACTTCGAACCTAAAATTCACTATTTGCACAAGCCAAGTACCTACAGTTGAACCCCTTAATAAGATTCATGCTCCGGGCAGCAGTTTTTGTCTTTTATATGAGAGGTCTCATAAGCAGGGTACCAGGTGTGCATTTTCTTATCAACCCGTATATTACTGTAGGCACACTGGTGTCTCTTATACCCATTTGTCTCTCATATCGGTGTCTCTTGTAAAGGGGTTCAACTGTATATGCTAAAATTTATAGGTACTCTTATAAGCGGTGTGAACTTAAGTCTTTGGAACATGCAGAGTTCAATTAACGGCCGTGCTGCAGTGTAATGTTTTTAACAAATAGTGAGATTGCCTTTGATATCTTGGTACATAGAGGTTCCACTGCTTTTAAAGGTTTGTATATATTACAAGCATTCCATCAAGTTTTATGAGAGTAGTTCTTTTGCATTCATAATTCGTGAAATCATGGTAAAGATCAGGTCCCTACTCAGAACTCCACAATGTAAGTTAAAGAAATGAAAACAGTCAATGCCGATATGGGTGTATTACGAGAAGTGAAACTCACCGTTAGTTGAAAAGTCGCCTTATATATAACATTTCTGTTGCCTGATGCACAATTGGTAAGTGGCCATATTGATTGCAGCAATGAGGCGCTGTTGGGATGGCCAGAATCTTCAATCTAGTCACTGATCTTCATCTTTTACGCTATCTGTGTTCATCGTCTTGATTTAATCATGGTTGTTTTGTGTCACTGTTTAGTCATAGATGATATACTGAGCATGTTAATGTCAGTGGCACAGTTATAAGAATAGTTAAAAAGTTGTTGCTCTGGGTCCTTTATGACTAGAGACCGGATTATAGGCAAATGCCTATTTTGTTCCTTGCATTCCTATCGTGTCATTTTGATATATGAGCTTGAGTTCGAGTTTAACAATGGCTTTTATTGTGTTTTATAGTGCCTTAAATGCCTATCTTGGGTGTTCATCCCTAAATGCCTAAAAGTGCCTATAAATGCCTATTTTCCAAATTAGCGCCTATATGAGTGCTATTCAAGGCCAAATTTTGTTTTCGAGCGTGGTGTGGAACCGTTATTCAGGTAAAAAAGGCAACATTGATATTACCAAACACTATAAGGTTCAACGAAGACAAAGCTCACATACTGCGAGCAATTGGAGGCGCAGTATGAGGAGTGCAAAAACACACTATTTCTGCAGCCCTAAGTGGAAGCACGTCTCAGCGTATGCACGGAAAGGAGAGAGAATTAAAGATGGGGTAAGAAAATAAAAGTGACGTCTATGGCCGAAGACGAGGCGACCGCCTTCTATAGACATCTATCCAGTGCACTGAAGGAACTGGAGAACCGCCCTGAAAACCTGAGTGTTGTGGGGGGAAAGGAAGAGCAGGTTTTGCTGGGCAGTTTCGGGTAGCTTGAGAACAAATGAAAAACCATGGAGGGCCACTCATGAAATGCTCTTGTTGATTCAGTGTTGGCAAAGGTCGCCAAATTGTTGTACTTTATACAGCAAAGCCTGAGACTGGTGCGGCATATCTACAATCAATGGTGTATTTAGCATACATTCACTGTATGCTTGGATACGCTTGTTCCGTATGAGATTTCTTGTTATATCTCTCTAGGTTACAAACATGAAAAAATATGGAACAGGGCTTATAAGTTTGTCCTAAGCCATTACTAAAAAATGACCGCTGCAACGATATGAAAAATGAACTAGAATAGGAACTACCATCATCACATCGAAATAAACTACGGTTAAAGTTCCTATGTCAAGCATTTTATGGTGAAACTCGCATTCCAAAATGAATGCATGTAAACAGTCCTTTTCACACAATGGTAATTAAGATTTTAGAATTTCGTATCAGATATAATTTTTCTATTAATTTTTTATTAGTTTCATGACAGAATGAAATGGCTTATAAAGAGAAGAAAGTGTGTTGTGTCAATGAAGGCGTGTTTTCTTTGACATTGTAACCCATCTGCTTGAGCGCCTTTGTGTAAAAAATGTGATGCGCATGTGGCTTTCGTTTTGTTTGCAATTTACTTTTAAGCGTCCCATATAGGTGACATAATAAGTTGTAGTTAGGCAATAGAAGTTCTTGCGTGCCCAATGAAAAGCGTTCTACCACGGTGATATTTCAAATTGGTCCGCTATAAGTCGCCAAAGCATGATGCTAAAAAGCAAGCTTGAATTCCTTGCCTCTTGTTTCATGTAGCCATCGCGAGCTTCAATCCTTCCCTGTTCTCTTCGGTATCACGGCTGGAGAATCACATGACGCATACGCAACGAGAACAACATGCGTAAGCAAGGTCACGCGTGCATGACGTGCCCCAGCCTACTTGTGTACTTGTGACATCGATGTTGTGGCGTTTCGGCGTTTTTTGTTGTGTATTACCCGTTGATGTGGGATGGTTCGGTCAGTGCGTTTACTTTAAAGGAGGCTGGCAAGGATCATGTATTGTGACTGCAATACACCACGTAACTCCGCTGAAACTGCGTTCAGAGACGACGCACCAAACACAAGCTACGCGTTGTCAGCGTTGGCGAAGGCACGATGCAGGAACGCGAGTAGACGAACGGTAGTAGTAGTAGTAGTAGTAGTAGTAGTAGTAGTAGTAGTAGTAGTAGTAGTAGTAGTAGTAGTAGTAGTAGTAGTAGTAGTAGTATAGTAGTAGTAGTAGTAGTAGTAGTAGTAGTAGTAGTAGTAGTAGTAGTAGGTAGTAGTAGTAGTAGTAGTAGTAGTAGTAGTAGTAGTAGTAGTAGTAGTAGTAGTAGTAGTAGTAGTAGTAGTAGTAGTAGTAGTAGTAGTGTAGTAGTAGTAGTAGTAGTAGTAGTAGTAGTAGTAGTAGTAGTAGTAGTAGTAGTAGTAGTAGTAGTAGTAGTAGTAGTAGTAGTAGTAGTAGTAGTAGTAGTAGTAGTAGTAGTAGTAGTAGTAGTAGTAGTAGTAGTAGTAGTAGTAGTAGTAGTAGTAGTAGTAGTAGTAGTAGTAGTAGTAGTAGTAGTAGTAGTAGTAGTAGTAGTAGTAGTAGTAGTAGTAGTAGTAGTAGTAGTAGTAGTAGTAGTAGTAGTAGTAGTAGTAGTAGTAGTAGTAGTAGTAGTAGTAGTAGTAGTAGTAGTAGTAGTAGTCGTAGTAGTAGTAGTAGTAGTAGTAGTAGTAGTAGTAGTAGTAGTAGTAGTAGTAGTAGTAGTATGTGTGGTTTTATTAAAGATACGATATGAATATGAGGGTTGCACCCTATAGCACCCTATAGTGGAGCACCCTATAGCAACTGGTCCACCGGGACAGATGCGAAACGAGGGCTAATTAGTGAAAAGCATCTCAAGGCTATTCAAAGCAAAAATAATAATAATAACAAGCTGAGATTGTTTGTGTGTTTTATTATTTTTCTCAGCTTTCATTCATTATACTGATTTTGAAAGGGCACTGCTAAGACAAAGGAAGACATAGAGATAAAGAGCGCTGTCTTTCTTTTTCCTTTGTTTTTGCGCTTCCCTTTCAAAATAATATGAAGCAGCTAGCCCAAACCAAAGTACTCCTCATTCATGCTACACAACAGAACACACAAATTGTCCATGCCAAGTAGAGTAATGTCACGTGCAATGCTCTTCATGAGGTACCGTTTAAAATGCAGGATATATTCAAGGGGTGGGACATTTTGCTAGCATTTAACGACGTTTTGATGAGCGTACGGTATGCGGTGTCTGCCCACCAATGTTAACGTAAAGGAGCGACATAAAAGCAGGACCATTCCTTGCTGTGTGTCACTCCCTAGATCTTGGAGTGCACGCCCGCGAGAAGGGAAAGTGGCATTCATTCCGCGACATGCAATTTGGCAAATCTTAACAGGAATGATCCGAAGTGCCCAGCGCACCATTACGCTTGTCAACTCGAAATGCATAAACCCATTGAGGGGCTCTTTAAGGTGTTCACCGATAGAGGAGAAATTGGTCCTATGCGATTAGACCTAGCATTCCTCTCTTCTGAGGTATCAGTGGTTTGGTTATTTGCTCCTGCGCTGCCCTTCCCAGTCACAACGAAACAAGAGACCCAGGCGCACATTGACGCACATTGCTAGACGATAAAACGAAAGAGCACTTACTGCGACTCACGCGGGAAACGCATGCGATTATTTAATTATTAGTACCTTTTTGCTGTCTTTAACAGTGTCATTTTTTTGTTGCTTCTTGCCGTAGACACAAGTCACCGACGTCGTTGTTTTGGGATACTTAAATTGTTGTAGAAATTTATTGTGCCTATAATTATGATCTTGAGGGCCTAAAACAGTATTTTACCTGTCTGTCTTTGGCGTCTAAAACAAACATTTTAGGGCCTAGAAATCCGGCCTCTATTTATGACCAATGTTTCTCATTTCTGTTGCACAGGAAATCAAGATCTTGACTGCAAAGTCTAAGATCACTGACCTGGTTGCTATTCGACACCCAACATCAAGTGGTGGGATGCGCACCACCATGATCCTGCTTTGTGAAGATGGCAGTTTGCGAATCTACATGGCCTCACAGGTATACAGCAAAGCATCATGAATTTGATATTCATTAAAACGAAAAACCGGGATAACTTGTTTTTATGGCGAGATCCTGTCAAACATGTTGACATATGTATGATGACATGTACTCATTAAACCTTCGGGAGTTTAGTTTTTCTTTAATACAATGCCGCAGGGTTGCTTTTTTAATGAATTTAAAATCTGCAGAGTGAAGCCCTCTTTTTTTTCTTTCTTTCTCTCTCTGTCTTTTTGTTTTTTTAATAAAGGGTTCATTAGGTGACACAACAAATGTATGGTAAAATGTATTGTAAACGCTATATGGTTGTGCACGTGCCATGGAGACCACATTACATGACACGGTGCTATATCGCAAATTTTGTAACAGCATGCTCCTGACAAAGATCTTTGCTAACCTGTTTTATAATGGCCACATGCACTTTCTGAAACGTTATTAATGAATTTTTATGTTGGTTATAGTAAGTGATTGGTTGTTAGAGTGTGTGTAAAGTTAGATTGGTAGCCGGTGGAGCGGCATTTGGTTACTTCTATGCGCAGTGTGCAAGATCTCCTTTCACAAGGGCAGAATTTACCAAGCCACGAAAATGCGTAGGCATGAACACTTGTATCTGATGCAAGTGTGTGGGCCTTCCAAAGGCTGACTTTTTCAAAGGTGTCACCAGATGTTCATGTACATACAGTAGACTCTCAGTAAACGGAACCTGAAGGGACCGAAAAAATGTGTTCCAAATAACAGGAGTTCCATTTACTGACAAATAAACATGGGTGCAGAATACAAGCACTAAACGAAGCATTGCAGAGGCGGTAGTTTTATTTTAGCAGTAGTTCCATTTAACGAATTTTTGTTTGCTTAGAGGGTACTGTATTCAAGCTTGTTCACTGGAAAATTGTTCACTGGAACGCAGATTCTTCACCAGTAAGCAGCCCATTACATCAAGGCTCATAATGTTCTAGTTTTCGCCAATTCTCAAGTTGCTTTATACGTGGACACACAATGATTGACCCACGTAACGCAGATCATAAGTGAAAATTGGTTGTCATAATGGCTTTAAAGGGCCCTTGCCATTTCCAATATTTTTACAGTGAAAGCTGTTATGCGATCACAGCAAGGGTCGTTCTTAGCTGTTACCGCCGCCGGTGTCTGTAACCGCTAATGTGCGAAATAAGTAAAAAATAATACAGTCGAGCCCACATATAACGGCCCCACTTAAAACGAACTTTCGCTTACAACGAACAATATCCACGTTACCGTGAAAGTATACATTGGTTCAATGGCACAAAATTGCACTTACAACGAACGTCTGTGAGCGCCGCTGATCGGTTATAGTGAGTGGAGTCAGCGCTCTGCCGACTTCCCGGGAAACCACTTTCGACCACGAATCAGGCATTGGCGAGGTGCCCATACATTCTTATTGTTAAACGCTGACCCTGCCTTCGCGCCCCTCTAGTTGCCACTCTTCCCGACCCCTTTTTGTTACACATCCCTTCGTCCTTTGTCCCCCCACATCTCTGAGCACCCCGCATCGCCAGACGAGGCCCATGTTTTCAGGCTGCCACCGATCTTTCGAAGTCCGGTCGGCCATCTACCTTGTTTTTGATCTCTGGTACTGTTGTTGGCGGCGCCGGCCTGGAGTGACCAGACCATTTGCCAATATCGTCGGCCACCGACTGTATCCGATTGTCTGCGTCTAGTGCACGCGTGTACGCTACCCCACCAACTCTGATAATTTGCGATTCGTTTCCCGTTTAGGACTTGTTCTCGCTCACTTCGCACTTGACGCAGCCTGCCCTCTGCAAGCGTGGGGAAGCGCGAAAATGGCTGTTGATTTGCGCGGAACGAATCGTGAAATATCGAAGTCGGTGAGGCCACGCAAACCCGCCGGTGCGGGTTTCAAGTTCAAAAACTCTTTCAAGTTTTTCTGTGTGCGAGTTGCGCGTTTTGCGGACCTTTCAAGTTAGCTACCCAACCTGCCTCCTTCCCGTGTGTTTTGGTTTTCAAGGTCACCCTCCCACCGCATCCTCCTCTCTCTTTATCGCAACTCTTTGCCCTTCTCATGCAAGTCTGCTCTCCTCTCTTGATCACAACCCCTTCGCCCGTCTCCACGCGAGCTCGACTGTAGTAGCTGGGCATTATTTCCACAATCTCAAGTAACTTTTTAAAATAGCTATTTGTTACCTTGAAGTGTTGTGGAGATATAAGGGGTATAAAATTCAATATGTCGATCTGAGACATACGGTGCTCTAAATTTGTAGTACAGTCAAACCCCGCTACAAGGAAACTGACAGGACGCAAAAAAATTTTCGTTGAAGTGAAAATTTTGTTGTAGTGAAATTGAAAAAAATATAGCTGATCTGAGCTAGCAAAACAAAGGAATGTTTATTCTCAAAATTAAAAAAATGTCTGCTGCTTCTTATTTTTTCCCAGCAGCGTCGCGACGTGATTCTCTCCTATGCATAGCGAGGCCATGGGTGAAAAGCAGGCTGAAACATTGCCTAAAATTGCTTTCGTGAACGAAGCCTTCTCTTGCCCTTCTCTCGCAAGTCTGCTCTCCTCTCTTGATCACAACCGCCTTGCCCGTCTCCACCGAACCGCGAACCAGACACGCTGGCTCGAATTAGTTTCGTTTTCCTACTAGAAGCGGGCCCAGAGCTGTTCGATGCATTCTGGCATGCGTGTCACGCGTGCACGTCTTGCTCGCTCTTGGTGTGCGTGTGTGGTCAGGATGGCAGATGGAAGGACTTGCATGCTTTTTCCTGCCGCTCAACAAAACAAAAGTGTGACCGATTGGCTTGAGTGTAATCCGTGCATTAGGTGCCGCATTGGGGAGCACTTGCTCATAGCTGTTGACCACCTGGCAGCCAACTTTCCGCTTCGGGGGTCCTGGTACTCAGCTGTGGAGATAGTGAATATTTCGGGGACAGCGGGGCAACTACATGCACGCGAACCTGTTCTCGCGTGGCCAACTTAGTCGGCGTCGGGCCCGATGCCGAGCCTGAAGCTTCCGAACAGGATCACTCCGGCAGCGATTTGTGGCAGCTCGTCGTCGACTCCGACCTGGGAGAGCGGGTGGGACATCTGTTGCGATGGTTTACTTAAGGCAGATGATAATGCCGACACTGCGGAACCATGCACAGATTAGGGCATTGTGAATGAAGTACGTGGCAAGAGCAATTATGAGGAATCGGATTGCGAGAACGGCGATACGTTGGAGCCGGTGCTTCATGCAGCTTATGCTACAGACCTCGTCAAACGAGCACCCTGCTGTTTTAAATGAACTCGAAACCACCCTTATCGCTTCTGCTTTTTGAAACACATGCATCACAAACTTCCTGGGCAAAAAAAGTTTGTGTTTTCACTCGCAACTTTTTTAAAAGCTGTGATTAATTTATATGAACTTCAGGATACAGCGAACAAATGCCGCGTCAGGCTCAGGTTCGTTATAAGTGAGCTCGACTGTAACGAACGACAGAAGGGATTCAAACCAGAGTCCTTGGCATACCATCACAGCACTCTATCACTGAGCCATGCTGGCGCTTGAAACTCCGATGCAAATTGACCCTTGGCAGTCTCATTGTCGGGAAAGGCTTCTTGCTAATGAGTAATAAAGCATTTTAAAAAAGCAGAAGAACAACCAGGCATGTCACATTGTGAATTGTGTAACGAGTGGGTTGTCAAATGCTTCGATTCATTACAAAAGCCACAGCATAAAATAATTGCACAAAATTCCTTGCAAGTGTGTTGTGGGTACCATGCTTCTAAGGATGACGAAGGACGGCATAAAAGATGCCTCCCTATTACATAACATTTGTGATTTATGGCATAATGGGTACCCTGCAAGTGTGCTTGTAGCAGTTACCCAAAGAGTGTTTAAAAAGGGGCTCTAAAAGGCCACTCTTCGAGCTTTTGCTGTGACTGTGCTGTGCATTCTATGGAGGCCTGGCAGATTTTTCAAACATTTCAAGTAAACACTAGCATCATGTTCAGAATGCCACGACAGTCGACGATGCCACAAATAGCAGCACTATAGGCTTTGGACTCGCCACAATTTCAAGAAACAATCATTACTCCTCTCTGGGCTTTTCTGGCTTCTCTGTTGATATGTGTGGCATTGCCATTTCGCATCTGTGGTATTATAGACTATCAATGCTTCAATTGGTTAAAGATCTGACTTATGGTGAGGCCGCAAGCAGCTGCCCGCGCACAAGTAGAGGTGCTCCAGCATGTCATGCCATTGTGCGGGCTCATCATGTTGGTGAACCTTTGAAGGTGTGCACAAAACATAGGGTACAAAGCAGCACGATTCGTTGGAGCTTAGGCTGGCACATGAAGTATGAAGTTGAGGTGACCGAAAGGGGGCACTGTTACGAAGAGTGCATTGACAATGATGTACCATATTTACTCGCATAATAGGCGCACTCGCATAATAGACGCACCCCAGTTTGGTCGCGAGAAATGTTTTTTTTTTTATTTCTGCGCATAATAGGCGCACCCAGAAGTTGTACCTGACAAGTATTTTTGTACTATATTTGCACGGTTGCAATTTCACACCACTTAACTGGAGCAAGAAAAAAACAAAACAAAAGAAGACCACAGCAGCGCTCCGCAATAGCGGAGTGAGGAAGAAGGGTGGCGGAGCCACAGCGGTGTGGCTCCGGCTGCACCTGCTCTGCTTGGATAGTGCGATTGCGTCCTCATCAAGTGCACTTCGAGTTTCTTGCCTGGAAAAGCTCCGTTATCACGTCTGCTACCTCGTCCGCGAATTTGAGAGCTTTTCGGCTTTCCAACGCGAGCTCTCACCTTTGCTGTTACTACGCGGGCTTGCTCAAGCTCGACCAATTTTCGTCTCTGTTGACTTCTCGGCGGTGAACTTAAACATCACATCACGTGCGCTGCTCTTGGATCAGTGCTTGAGTACGATCTTTTCGATGCTGATCATGTTGCAACGAATGCTGAACCATAGGCTGTCTAATCAGCATTTGTTGCATTTTGGTAGCAGT